CGGAGCAGATCTCTCGCTACCGGCCGTAATTCGCTCCATGGCCGGTAGCGACGGTTGTTTTACCGCGGTCGCAACCTTCTGCGAGGAGGTAATCTCGCAGAAGGAGGCGGCGGAGAAGGCCCGGGAGGACGACCTCCACTCGGACCTGATCCGCCGCCGGCGAACCGGCCGGCGGAGGCGCGCTTACCTGCGCCTCATGCCGCCCTGAGTGTGGCCGCGGGTGGACGGGATGGGTTCTCCCCTCCACCCGCATTAGTTGGCCAGCCGCGAGGGGGCGGCGTCCGCGTGTGCCGGACGCCGCCTAAAGAGAGGAAACTTTGAGACGGAGCCCGCAACAGGAGCGGGCCGGCGCTGGGAGGGGTCCAGAAGGCGATAACTACTTGGACCCCTCCTAAACTGGAACCGCAAAGAGGGCACACCGTGTGGTTTTAGTCGGTTCGAGTCCGACACACCGCCCCGCCGAACGAGAGCCCGGCGGGGTGACGGTCCGAGGGGATTTCCACACGTAAAAAAAGAAAAGGGTTTGTGTCAAGTTTTCCTTCTCTTTGCAGCGCTGTTGTCCTGCGTAGTTTGCTCCCTTAGTCGCCTCTTACGACACCCACGGGATGAACAGGGGTGGTAACACGGTTTTGCTATTTACATTATTAAAAAAAAAAGTTTTTTTGAATTTCTTAAAATCCGTTCGTAGCTGACCTCTACTCGGTGAAAAGAATATTCCTACCAAATTTCAAGTCTTTAGCTCTAATGGTAATGGTAAGAGATATCGTGATGAGTGACTATATACGTGGAAATCTCTTATATATATATATAGATAGATAAAGTATGTATGTAAGTACACATACATACTTTATATTTATACTTATACTTTATAGTATGTATGTATGTAAGTATGGAACATTAATAAATGTTTCGTTGGGCTTGTCCAAAATAAATAACACTGTTTTTCATGCTCATTTTGAAGAATTTGTAAAACTGTCTTAAAGCAATTATAATACACAGAAAAATTTAAACACGGTAAGATGCGTATTTAGTGATGCCGAACTATCGATAGTTGACCTTGAAAATCAGGATATCGATAGGAATAGTTTTGGACTAATATCACAAGTCATCAACAGTATTGCCATATTTTGTCCTATCGATATTCGCACTGTTGCCACAGTAGACTCGATAGCATAACTTATCGATCGGAAACACTAGTGTAGGTATATCACTTCCTCTATTTCGCAAATTAACAAATGTGATTAATTAAATGTGACGGTGTAAAGCTCAACAGATCTGATCAGGTCACCTACTTACATTAATAATAAAACCAATGGATTTTCATTTTCATTACAAATTAGTTTAATTTAAATCAAATCCACGTCACCACAATGAATAAAAATAGGTATTCTTTGTCCCAAAATTAAAAATAAATATTTGTATGAGGCACACGTTATAACCTTGGGCGTATCGAGCGCACGGCATCTGGTGAAGCGAGGCAAGGGGGGCGCCGGCGCCAGCGCTCTCCATACGTAGGGCTGCCATTCGTCCGGGTTTCCCCGGATTTGTCCTAGTTTGGAAGACGTCCGGGCGGGGTTTAAAAGTCCAGGTTTTCGATCAGATCCCGTTCCCATAATTTATGTAAATAAAAGCTATGGGTAAGGTATTTCACTGCACGCGCTGCCCTTGTTAAACAAGTTTTCATTTAATTTTATTAACTGAATAAATAATATTGGGTTTGTTTATCTTTTATTTATTACCTAAGAAGGTTAAAAAATAAAGCAAAATTACTCGCTTGTCGTCACAAGAACGATTAAACACACTATTTCATGCAACAAGAGGCTTGAAATTAAAGTTTTCTTCTATAAAGTACGGAGGAAAATATACTTTATTCAAGATGTAAGTGAATGAAAAAAGTATTGGAATGTCAGGGTAAAAGCTCCAAAATCCGGGGAACTTAGGCTTCCGTTCCTTTTTTTTTTTTTTTCCGTGCGGAAATCCCCTCGGATACCACCTGTCGGTGGCATGTCGGACTCGAACCGACTAAAACCGCACGCCGTCTCGGGTACTAATAGCCGGGGAACCAGGTATACCCTAGAAAGGAAGTCCCTGGTGCCCCGACATACCTCGGGTCATCTACAGACGAGTAGACGACCCCCCCCCGAGGCTTCAGGTTTTAGTGATGGCAGCCCTATCCATACCTATGTATCTACCTATTACTGGTGAGACGGTGGACGCTAGTTAACTGGTTTTAGCACTCTACTGCCGTCTATCGCATATGTTGTACATTTTTTTTTTTATATTTTTTTTTTATATTCTACCACATACACACAACGCCATCTAGTCCCAAACTAAGCAGAGCTTGTACTATGGGTACTAGACAACTGATATAAATACATATATACTTTTTTTTTTTTTTTTTTTGTAAATACATACACATTATACATAGAAACACCCAGACCAAATCAAACATCAAATGTTCATGCACACAAATGTTTGACTTGAGCGGGAATCGAACCCGCGACCTTTGGAATAGCAGTCCGTTACACAAACCACTACGCCATCCGGTCGTCAATTTGTTTATCTAAGATACAGCATGGTGCTTTTTAGTATTGCTTATAATGTTGTCATCTTCTAATTCCGTCTAGGTCCGTGTGGTGACGGTTTAAGAATACAGAGCGTCACCACCCCTATTCATCCCGTGGGTGTCGTAAGAGACGACTAAGGGAGCAAACTACGCAGGAGAACAGCACTGCAGAGAGAAGGAAAACTTGACACAAACCCTATACCAACCCGTCTGGCCAGCGTGATATAGTAGGCCTAAACCTCCTTTCTAAGGAGAGGCCTATGTCCAGCAGTGACCTATTAAAGGCTGTTGATGATGATGATGAATTTAAAAGCTAGACTTGGTTCTGTAATAGGCCAGATATTTGTCCCTAAAAATTAGAACTTTTATATTAGTCAAACGTACCTTTTGTAAAGCCCTGAAATAACCGAAAATAAAATAAATAATTTTATTTAAAAAAAAAGACGTTTCGCTACTTTAATTTATTTATTCAGACATTTTTAAATAAAGTACTTGATTGTTTTATTAAGTTTTTTCCTTACTAGCTGTACCCGCGAAACCTTGCGATATTATCTGTTCATTACATTAGTTACAAATATGATTTATTTGTCTATTTACACATTTTTTGATACATTTTAAAAACGATACAAAATAATTATTGATACAAAAAATTAAAACGAGAAATCAACATTTGGAAAAAAGTTCCCAGATCCCATAATATTGGGTGTCTCCCAGTGAAAGTGTGTGAAAATCAGTCCAGCCGTTATGTAGATTGACCCTTACAAATTTATTTATTCATCTTTATACACTTGTACATCGGCGGACTTAATGCCCAGGGCAAAACAAATTCTAGTTAGTTACGTACTGTACGTTCGTTCATTCGTTCACGTAATATTAAAAAATATATATTTTTTTAATTTTTGTATATTTTTGTTTGTGATAATTTTATTTTACCTTGTCATATTGATCGCCAATCCTAGCACTAACACACTCTACGGTCCATGTTCAGCTCGCTCCCCTAATTGCTAATTGGGGGGAGGGGGTCAAATAGGAGCAACGCACTTGCGATTCTAGAGTTGCAGGTGTCCTAGGGCGGCGGTAGTCACTTACCATCATGTTGTTTGCCCCCTATAATACATAAAGTATCTAGACATATCAGACACACTGATAAAATACACGCCATGTTGATTATCGCAACAGTTTTATTTAACCTTGAACTGTTCCGACCGAATAAACTACTGAAGTGTCTGTTTGTAATGTCAAAATAATAGGTTTTTTCATGCTTACACGGTTATTTTCAGGATGCCTATCTCTAAAAACCAGTTTCAACCATCTTCTAAACGGCTGGACCGATTTTGATAATGTTTTGCTACCAGGTAGCTGTCTATATAAGGATTAAGTTAGGCTACTCATACTACTACTTAGATGTCTCGATGTCTCAATGTTCGCGCGCGTAGTGGCCGACTAATGTGTGTAAGTGTGCATTCCGGCCTGTACTATAGCGAGCTGGCCGACTATGAGTGACACAGTTGTTTGTTAGCGAGATTATGCCCGCCTTTTTTATACGTTCATGACAATAAGCGACGATAGACGCTTGTTTCAATCGAATAGAGAGCGTCACCTTTTTTTGTAATCGATAGAACCACTCATGTTCGACAGATAATAAACAGCCAAAATCAATTATTGACCGGTTTAATGACACAAGTCGTTAAACATTATCATCCTGTTCAATAAACACGTTATTGGTCTGCTTTTGTGATAATCAATCGAGACCGATTGATTTGTTTTTACGTTAGCCGGTATTTTTTTACCGCTGCGATCTCTGGAAATAACAGTCACATTTGGATAAAGAAAAGAATATTGCACAGAGTTATCAATGAAGATTTTACCTTCCATAAGACCGTGGGTGTAAGAGCCGACTATGGCCAGCAGTGGACTATTAAAGCCTGTTGATGTGATGTGATATTACTAGCTGTTCCCTGCCACGCTTCGCTATGGCACATTGTGGCTGCATTGATGAGAAATCAGGGACAAAACTGACGCAAAAAATAGTTAAAAACCATATACCTATTAGGTTGGTATATCGTTTGGGTCGCCGTCGTTTCAAAAACTCAAGCGTCTGTCATTTGAGTTTTTGAAGCGTACACAAACCAACTTATATTTTTATATATCTATATAAAGAACTCAATTTGTGAAATTATAAATAAACATTCCTAAACTAAGTAAAACTTGATGATTCAACACAATTTTTGCCAAAGTAATAAGTTCGTGAAAAATAAAAATATATTTTAAAACCTATAATTACATGTTTACTCTTAAATATTGTAATCTAAAAATCCAAGAATACGCAACTCGCTCAACAATCTCGTTCAGTGACGTCAAACGTAAACACCACTACGTCACCGAGCCACGCTCACTTCGTCTCGAGTCGTATTATCATTGTATTGTTGCTTAGTTACAGTAAGCGCGTCGAGGACACTACAACGATGGGTGTGCCGCACATAACTTCCTTCTGCTGGTGCATGGGGCTGGAGCTTGGCACCAAGTGTATTGGATTCTTGCATATGGTGAGTCAACGTTAATAATTTTTGTTTGTTTTACCCGCGATAAGATATATTTAAAGAATTGCTGTGAGGAGGATCAGCGAAGTTACTTATGTATTTGCAAATAACTTTTTATAATATTTAAAATAGGTAGGTACGTTATTATTGTAATGTGTACAATGATATTATATATACAAACATATCATTGAATCATCATAGGCCTAATAAAATCTACAATAGATTATTTATAAGGCGTCTATGGTGGATAAACGGCACTTATGAATATGGCTAGTAAGTCCGATTCGAGAGCGGCAAGCTCGGCCACAGTGTATCATTAAATATGTATGAATATATTACAGAAGCTGGTTTAAGTTATTTATACATTTACAAAATTTGGCATTAACGGTTTCCGAACAAAGCTCACAGTGATTTCACATTGCTCATTGTTATTTTGTAACGGACAGCGATTCTATCTAACAGAGTAGTTACATGCATTATTATAGTTTAGTTGGTTATATTGGCGTTGCGATTGGTGAAGATTTCAGTGCGGGCTATACTTTATGTTTGGACCCTAAGGAAAAAGCTCTAAAGAGAAAAAATAAGGAAAGAAATTGGAAACCGATGCGAATATCATTTTTATAAAACAAATATTGATTCGTTTCTAATTTTATTAGAATTTGATGCCATGCGGTGAACCCAGTTTTTTAGCAACCCTTGTTGTTTGGACCCTTGCAGGCCCTCTGGTGATCCGCCGAGAGGCCGAGAGCCTCATGCCGCCTTGAGTGTGGTCGCGGGTGGACGGGACGGGTTTTCCCCTCCACCCGCCACAAAGGCCAGCCGCGAGGAAGCCGGACATCGCCTAAATAGAGAAGGTACATTCTCTATTTAGGCGACTTCCGGCACACGCGAACGTCACCTCCGTCGAAGGTGGCGCCCGCGCCTTTGCGGGAAGCCGCTAGGAGGGGTCCGGATGTCTTAATAACATCAGTTCCCGGATCCGGTTTATGACAAAAATATAATATTGTCCAAAAAAATATATAAACGTTAAATAGAAAATATATAAAAAATTAGTTTGACAATTCAACATGACAAATGTTGACAAGGGTTAAACGTTCCGTTATAGCTAGTAAGTTTTATTTCAATATTTATATGATTCAATTTTAGGTGAGCAACGAAACTAATTTCAGATAATCGTAGTTCAAAAAATCTTTATGAATCCGCGTAAAATCGAGCAGAGCGCGAGTGTCCTTGGAGATAAGAATATATAGCATAGCAGATAATACTATCTAACATAACAGTTATTTTTTTATAACTCCATTCATGTTATACGATACGTCAGAGTAGCTGAGATGAATAATTGAAATGAAATTTAATATTATTTTTGTACATCACATACACACAATTATAATTCACACATTTTATCGTAATATAAATTATGTTTAAATATTGTGACTGAATGCTCGCTTGAACTAGACTTCCCAATTTTTAGAACGTTTTAATTTTTCTATAGTAAAAGATATATACAATACTTCATAGTCGACTGATATAATTCATTTTAATCATTTCAAACCATTTTGTCTAAGAATACGAGTAGACTTGTTTGGTTATTTAAACGCGATAATCTCAAGAACCATCAGTCAGATTTCAATGAATTTCTGTATTGAATAGATTATTTATAGTTATCGTCATGTTTTATAGCTTATATTTTATAAGCTATAAAACATGACGCTGCGGCCCTTAGCAGCAGAGCAGTGACTATAAACGCAGGTGAACAACACTTTGCAAATACATGATAGTGGTAACAACTTTCAAGAACGTACCCATGTAGGAATGGAACTGTTTGATTATTATTATTAACTCCTCCTAAACGGCTTGGCCGATTTTTATGATTTTTTTTGTGTATATTTAGTAGGTCTCAGAATAGGTCGTAAGCTATTTTTTATACCCCTAGGTGGTAAGGGTTCCCTACCACCTAGGGGGTTCATCCTCCCTAGAATTCTTTATTTATTTTGTAAACATGTCAAGTTCATAAAGTACATTGAATTAAGAAAATAAACGGTTAGTGTTTTGTTATTTGTATAGGCCATCATCGGTCACATTCCTCTTTCACTCATAGACCCTATCCCCACCATCTTACAATAAGTTAGTTTTTTAACTACCAAAATATTTACTAGAAATAATTTATATGGCAAAACAACGTTCGACGGGTCATCTAGTGTAACAAAATATTATAATCTACGAATAATAATTATTATTCGAAATTTATAACATACACGGCACGGGTGCAATGTAGATACTACTAATAATACTAATGTGGTGTCAGTGTGGAGTAATTAATTATACTATTATTATGAGAGGACTAAACTACAGCACATTTTTATATTATACAATATTTATCTCGCTCCGGCCGCTGCCATGCCACCCGCGACGGGCGTAAGGCCTAAAGCGGCAACGGCCGCTTTACACCCCGCATTTTAAACCTCTACTATCTTCTAAAATATTCCTTTTAATGATATGCTGTAAGAGTAATTTTAATCTACATTGAATGCACAACGTATCTAACGTATTTCATTGGATAAGGAATAATAATGTATTGTTTAAAATAGGTTCGTAAATAACCCATTATTTTTTTGGAATGGTTAAAAGATAAAAATGTATACTGTGTGTTATCCCTAGGAGATAGACATACATATACCATCGCGGACTTTTTTGTTGTAGATCTTTTTAAGATGTACATTTCTGTAGTACAGTATTTTGGTCTATCTCATAAAGTTTAGCCATCGTTTGTAATGTAAGACAGCAAAAACATGTTTTTTACGACAAATCTTTGAATTTCTCGGATTTTCTCTACTATAATATGCATGTATTATGCATAAGAACCTTCCTCTTGAATCATCCTCTCTATTGGTGAAAACCGCATTAGAATCCACAGCTTGGTTTCAAAGATCTAAGGGTACAACTAAAATAAAACGACTTTATTTTATACTATGGTAAGAAGATAAGGAGCTCTAGAAATTACTTAGGAGGTTGCCTGTAAGAGATTGCCTCTGAGTGATAATCTGTACCTGTCTAACCTAGCTTAAGTTAATCTTTATATATTTATACCTTTTTTTTTTCCGTGCGGAAATCCCCTCGGATACCACCTATCAGTGGCATGTCGGACTCGAACCGACTAAAACCGCACGCCGTCTCGGGTACTAATAGCCGGGGAACCAGGTATACCCTAGAAAGGAAGTCCGGTGCCCCGACTATATATTTATACCTGGTGTACAATAACGAGATTTATTATTATAATTATTGGAACGAAGTTCCTTATCGCGCGTTGTGAAAGGGGGCTAGACGGAAAACAATCTCCCGAAAAGTGGTAACGACACTTTTTATGTCAGTCATTCAGCGCCATCTATCGAATAGATAGGAAATCATTACTTTTCATCTTAGTATTTATTTTGAATTGTCACTTGTCAGTCATTCAGCGCCATTTATCGAATAGATAGGAAATCATTTCTCAAGGAGATGATACCAATGTATAAATTGTTTTAATTAGAAACCAACTGAAAAATATGTAGGTAATAGCCGCTTTCATAGATGGCGTTGTAATTAAAATCGTGTCGAGTTTTACTAGATAGTCACAACTTCGTTCCTATCGGGTGTCCCACGACACCACACGGCTTTAATGTTTTTGTTTTTATTTCAGCTGTCGGCATTGACGCTGATGATAGTATGCTCCGTGTTCGCGGTGAATGCTGGACAGTTCGTGGGCACCATAGAAGACATGGACCGTCTCTACTCCACGTATTACAAGATTTCGGCGGGGGTGTCTGTTTTCACCGTCGTGCACTTCTTTTTGGCTTTCACGCTGATCGCAGCTGTGTTCAAGGTAAGAAATCGAGTTATCTTCAATTTAAATCTTACTTCCTAAATGTGTATATGTATATATGATGTATGTGTCTATATGTGTGTGTATGTATACATTTATATATGTAGTAAACTGTGTATATTCACATCACACATCACATCATCAGCCTATCGCAGTCCACTGCTGGACATAGGCCTCTCCCATTGCACGCCACTTAGATCGATTTTGGGCTTCTCGCATCCAGCTCCTGCCAGCCATCTTACGCAAATCGTCACTCCACCTGGCCTGTGGGCGTCCTACACTACGTTTGCCGAGACGCGGTCTCCACTCAAGAACTCGTTTTCCCCAACGGTTATCGGTTCTGCGGCTAATATGGCCAGCCCACTGCCACTTCAGCTTGCTGATCCGGTACGCTATGTCGGTGACCTTAGTTCTCTGCCGGATCACCTCATTTCTGATGCGATCCCTTAGAGAAACGCCGAGCATAGCCCTTTCCATAGCACGTTGAGCGACTTTGAACTTGTGGACCAGCCGTACCGTAAGTGTCCATGTTTCAGCTCCGTATGTCATGACGGGTAGGACGCACTCATTAAAGACTTTCGTCTTAAGGCACTGTGGGATCGACGATGAGAAGACTCGACGTAGCTTCCCAAACGCTGCCCAACCCAACCGAATTCTTCTGTTCACCTCGTCCTCGAAGTTGTTTCTACCTAACTGCAATGTCTGCCCGAGGTACACATAATTTTGAACAACTTCGAGAACAGCACCGTGTACCGCAATCGGTTCCGGTAGTACATGTTCGTTGAACATGACCTTGGTTTTATCCAAGTTCATCCGTAGGCCGATGCGTACAGAAGTGTCAGCTAAGTCATTCAGCATTTGCTGTAGGTCCTGCAACGTCTCTGCCATGATGACGATATCGTCTGCAAATCGCAAGTGAGAGATGTATTCGCCATTGATATTGATGCCACGCCCTTTCCAGTGCAGCGTCTTGAACATGTCCTCCATTGCATTTGTGAACAATTTCGGGGAAATAACGTCCCCTTGTCTCACTCCTCGATGCAATGGTACGGGCCTTGTTTGCTGATTCTGTACTTGGACGGACATGGTGGCGGCTTCGTAGAGACATCTCATCACTTGGATGTATCGCCAATCTACTTGGCAACGCTGCAGGGACTCCAGAACAGACCAGATCTCGATCGAGTCAAAGGCTTTCTCATAGTCCACGAATGCTAGTCACAGGGGCTGATTATATTCTTCGGTCTTCTGTATAATCTGCCGCACTGTGTGGATGTGGTCTATGGTGCCATATCCGCTCCGAAACCCAGCTTGCTCCGGTGGTTGGAATTCGTCGAGTCTTCGTCGAGTCCGTTGACATCTCGACGGTTCGTGATGACTCTCGAAAACAGCTTGTAGACGTGGCTTAGAAGGGATATGGGTCGATAGTTCTTCAACCTGGTCTTGTCACCCTTTTTGAAGAACAAGACGACCACACTCCTACTCCACGCTTCTGGAGTTCTCCCTTCAAACAGGACAGCGTTGAAGAGCTTTTGGAGCTCCCTTAGTACGGGTTTACCCCCGGCCTTCAGCAGCTCTGTTGTAACGTCATCCTCTCCAGGGGCTTTTCCATTTTTCAGCTGTCCAAGAGCCATCTCGATTTCGTCAATGCTAACTTCTGGCAGGTCTTCGGTGTAGTGACGTGTTAATGTGGCTCTAGAGTCCTCATTTTCGGGATCAGGTCGAGATGCATGCGAAGCGTATAACCGGCCATAGAAGCTTTCCACTTCCAAAAGGACTGCCGGCTTCGAAGCAACGACTTCTCCACTTTCTGTAGTCAACTTTGTCAGGTGGCTTCTTCCAAGAGATTGTACGAACACTTGACCCCCGATTTTGCTCGATCGCTCTTTCAATTGAAAGAGTATTGGAGCACCGGAGGTCGTGTCGTACGAGTTTACTGATCTCTCGGTTTAGAGTCCGTTTTGCCGACAAAGTGACAGGTGGGTTTTCACGTCGTTTCTTCATCAGCCCTAGGGTCCTTTCTGAAAGCTTCGACTTCCTGCCCTTACGCTGCATTTCACAAAATCTCATACCTTCTTCCCTGAGGATCTGAACCACATTTTTGAGGTTCTGGTTTACGTTGATTGTGGTTTCCACGGCAGCAAATCGGTTTGCCAGTTTTGACTGGAACGTTTCAGATCCTGTCATGGCTTGGAGCCGAGTTGGTCGGAGCCTGGATTTCATCAAACAGACACGTTCCGCCTTAAAGTTGATATTCAGAGAGCCCCGGACAAGTCGGTGATCACTACCGGTATTAAACCTATTGATCACTGAGACGTCTCTGAATATGTGCTTTCTATCCGTCATGATGAAATCGATCTCATTTCTAGTCATAGCGTCGGGGCTTTGCCACGTCCACTTCCTTTGGGGCTGTTTCTTGAAGAAAGAATTCATCAAAAACAGCCCCTCCCGTTCGAGGAAGTTGACCAGCATTTGCCCCCTATGATTCCTGCTTCCAAATCCATGGGATCCTACTACCGATTCGCCGCAATTCTGTACTCCCACTTTAGCGTTGAAGTCACCCATAACAACGTTGTAGTGGGTCTTAGTTGTGAAGTGGAGGGCCCTCGATATGTCATCGTACATATCCTCCACCTCGTCGTCCGAATGTGCCGAGGTCGGTGCGTACACTTGCACAACCTTGAGGCTATACCTCTCGGTGAGCTTGATAATGAGGTACGCTACCCTGTTCGACACACTGGAAATTTCCACAACGTTGTCAGATAGGGACTTATTTACCAGAAACCCAACCCCACCTTGGGATTATTGGTCTCCCTCGCGGAAGTACATTAGGTGGCCTGACTCGAGGGTTATGGTGTCCTCCCCCTCTCTTCGGACTTCACATAGCCCTAGGATATGCCACCTAATCTTCCCAAGTTCCACCTCAAGTTGCGCCAGATGCGAGTCTAGCCGTAGCGTGCGTCCGTTGTACGTAGCCAGGGTCAGTCGGTTGTGGTGGCCTCCCGTAGCCCGGAGATTCTTCGCACCCCCTGCCCCGCCTTTACCGTGGTCGCCACCATGACCAGGAATAGCGGGGCCGCCGGGAACTGGGGGCCGTGGCCTTTGTTGCGTCTGCATGGGAGGGGTTTGCCCATAATCGCCACGCTGGGCAGGCGGGTTGGCGATCGCAGGGCGTAGCTTGTCGCACCGGTAACGCTGCTGCCCGTCACCGGCCTGTTGTATTTAGCAACGCCTATTGGGATGGATATACCGCCATCGGTCGGTCGCCAGAGCCTCGTTCGTCGTTCAGCAGGATGCACCGCGGGCAGGTGAGGTTGGCTTGGGGCGAAAGATGGTGGTTCGCCCCTCACACCCCTCGTGTATATTCATTGATAACATAATATATAACCTCTATGCACCTACCTTACAAGATTTCTACATCACCCAAAGGTTGACTGGATGAGAATGCCCTGGGTATCCGTCGGGTGTCCACCAATGTACAAAAGTGCATAAAGTTTAAAATAAATAATATAAAACAATAGCTCTACCCATGTTGTTTTCTATGAGGAAAACAGTACTGCTACTAAGATGGAAAGAAGTACTCCCTTGGCAATCATCAGACTATCAATCCAGAATCGTTTTTTTTTTTAGATTCTCGCGTTTAAACTGCACGGATGGCGTTAGTGGTTTATGCGGTCTCCACGCCGCTTACTACTACGCTGAGTGTTGTGGGTCCGATCCCCACATGGGACGACACTTTGTGTGATCCACAAATTGTTGTTCGGAGTCTGGGTGTTATTTGTGTCCGTTTCATGTATGTTTGTAAAGTCCCCCGCGACACGATATTCCTAAGGCAGGACTTGTCTTAAAACTGCTTTTGAAAATAAATTTAAAAAAATATATATTAAAAAAAATAGTTTAAAAAAACTAAAGAACACGCTTTTATAGAAAACCAAACTAAAAAATAGAAAATAAATTTTAATAAATATTTTTATATTTTTTTAATTTTTCTTTTAAATTAGTGTATTGTCATCAGTCCTCGATTTATCTACAAAGTTTGAACGAATTCTGACCGTTTAAAGTCAGTCAAAATCACGCCCAAAGGAGTCTGTTAAAAACATACAAACAAACATACAAGTGAAGCTAATATAAAGCGTGTAAATATATAAATAGAGGCAACGATGCGAAAAATGCCATTATTTCAATATATTTAGCTCTACATTAATATGTGAATAGAAATCTACATTTAGATTTAAAATACACGACAACGGTTACCTCAAGTATACGCCTCCGTTTTATATGTACGTTAACTCGTTAAGATGCATAAATAACAGTTTAAATAATACTGAATTATTAAATTAAAGCTAAAAATAAATAAACTCATAAATCATGGTCAATACTGACCGAGACCAACCAGTTTAGTGTCTCTTTCTTTTTAAAAGCTCTCTAATGCGTAGGAGAGTTTTAGGGTCTCATTTCTAATTCAGACACGTCTGGTGTAAGTGTTACTTTGCAATGAATTTAAAATAGACGTTAAAGGTCGTTGATCTTTAATTTGAATATTTGCAATGCCAAAAAATATTAGGCGCTGGTCATCAGCCTTAAACAGTCCACTGCTGGACATAGGTCTCTCCTTAGAAAGGAGGTTCTGGCCTTTCTTACTAAAGTTTAGTTTTATCATTGAAATCATTAAATTAAATTTGTGACTTGACTTTTCTATATCTTTTTATTTGTTTTGTATTTTATCTAGCATTTTCTTCTTTATTTTACAAGTATATAGTATATATTATTGTACCACATTCACACAACGCCATCTAGTTCCAAACTAAGCACAGCTTGTACTATGGGTACTAGACAACTGATATAAATACATATATACTTTTTTTTTTGTAAATACATACATATTATACATAGAAACACCCAGATCAAATCAAACATCAAACATTAAATATTCATGCACACAAATGTTTCACTTGAGCGGGATACGAACCCGGGACCTTTGGAATAGCAGTACACAAACCACTACGCCATCCGATCGTCAGTGTGATCGTCAGTATGGCAATAAATAGGCACATCCAGATACTGACATTTATTATAAGTATTTATAAACCGATAATAATCACCACAGTGGTGTCACCAATACCATTCTCTACTCCAAGAATGGCGTTGTGTTGAATAACGGAAGTCTTGAGTACGGTGTGACTTCTCTGTGGCGACTTTTAGATAAAGCAAAAAAAACGTACGTCAACGACATCTATCGGAGGCAAACAGAACTACTTAGTACTATTAATCCTGTCTCGCGCAATAACAGTTCTTGCGCTGATTAGTAATACAACTTTTTTACATCAACTGTTGGCCGGGTAGACCAGGAACGACCACTTTTAATAATTGAAGGATCTCTCAAGACTCCTATTCACATCTAGGTTGCCTTTACCCACAGCTTAAACTGCAGTCAGTAATTGTTTCCTCTTCTCTTCTTAGCGTTGGTCCGGTGGTGTTCTGGCGTGGGTAGTGTTGATGTCAGTGCTGATGTCGGCTGCGCTGCTGTGCGTGATCGTGATGAGTTTCACGCACGGACTGTCTGGCTCCGGCTCTGAGATCTTCCTCTCATTCCTCGAGGGGCTCGTCTTCTTTGGTGAGTTATCATAGCTACTTATTTATTAACCCAGATAAGCCTACTGTCGGTAGATATAAAAAAGAATTCAACTTGCGCACATATTAACAGAATATATTAAATGGATTTGTAGTGACAAGCTAATGTGCTATTGAAATAAAAATTAAAAAGGTGCAGTTATAATATATTATCCATTTTATAAATATTAAATTGAAAAGTATATCTAAAAGTGCATTGCAGACATATGGGACAGTAGGCTAATCTGGGTTAAATGTAAAAACTATTGTAAATATATTGGTAATCTCTATATCTCACCCCTTTTTTTTTTTTTTGCCGTGCGGAAATCCCCACGGATACCACCTATCGGTGGCATGTCGCACTCGAACCGACTAAAACCGCACGCCGTCTCGGGTACTAATAGCCGGGGAACCAGGTATACCCTAGAAAGGAAGTCACTATATTTCACCCCTACATTCAATTTAACTAGTGTTATGACGAGGACTCGAAGCAATGAAAATGAAACGTCTCAACTTCCTTCAAGCTGGGTTATACCTATGTACTTTGTATAATAAATGCAATTTCACATCCAGTATTATTCACCGTTCACCGAGTGTGCCTCACAGTACTGGCATATGATGTGTATCATCTACCATCTGACGGACACTGCAGCACTGGGCGCGCTCATTGGTCTAATCAAATAGCGCTTGCTTCTCCGACTTCCTGTTACACATTTCCGTCCCTTTTCATGAAATCACTTCCAGAGATTGCAGGAAAGGGAGACGCAAACGTAACACATCAAAATTTTTAGATATAGGTAGCGAAAAATTGTAGATGAGAATTCTGATTGCGTTTATCCTAAATGCAATTTAGAAGATTTAAATATTCAACCTATGTGTTCTGTTTCTGATCGCAAGGAAAAACTTAAGTGTCTTTTTTCATTTTACAGGAGTTATCTCCTACTGCATACTGTGTGTGTACAGTTACTACCTGATGCTGAAGAGTGCTGAGGACATGGAGGGGGCCAGCAAGAGTTACTACTAAACTCTTCCACAAGAGAACGTACCTGAGCAGTTATGAACTTATGAAGACTTCTGAAATCTATAACAAAGGGTTTACAGAAAGGTGTGTTGGTATTAAACCTTTTATTAATTTCATCATCGGTATCGTAATAAGTAAGACTTGGTCGGGGCTAGTACTGTACCGTTAACAGCCGTTAGTAAACTCAATATGAACCCTCTCCACGAGCAATTAGCTTAGATGGTAGGGTATCTAAAATACTTGAAACATAATTAAAGAAAATGGTTCCGTCGCTGGACATTCAGGCTGGCAGGTTTATTCAAGTAGGTTTTTAAAGCACATTCACATTAGCTTGGTCTGCATCCGTACGGGAATTAACGAGTCAGCTTGTGACCACGGCCGGTCCAATCTGGTCGAAACGTCAGAGAAAATAAAAAGTATGTAAAACCTGCTCCCGTTGATTCCCTAAATTATAAATAAATCGAGACATCAACTCGTGTTTATAATATAAAGTTCAAATATGTTTAATTATTATCTTTGTGGCTTCTTTAAGGCGTACTTAATAGTCGTATAATAATAGGTAAGTGTTCATTTTAACATTAAATGTGTAATTGTAATAATTTGATCACCAAAACCATTCGAAGCCACAGCGATCTATATTTCTTACACACCGAAACAGATCACCAAGCCAGCTAAGGACTAGACATGGAAATTATTGGTATTTTTAAATCATATTCTTTTGATGAAATGATTGGTTTTTTCACAGTGATTTTAAATGTGATTGTGATTTCGTCATAGACAAATATAAATCGCATTAAAATTAATCAAAATTCTTTTCATCTCAGATCACGACGAATGATAATAATTAAGTAGCAGTGGTTTTGTAAATCTGCCACAGATGATATTTATAAATCATATGATTTATCGTATGGGATTATGATTTTACGGCTTTCCTACTAAGGACACACGGCGTGACGTCACTATAACCTTGTGACGTCATTATGACCAGTTTACATTATTGAATCTCTACGTTGTTCATTATGTTAAATTGTGGTTCAATTCTACCTCATTTTTACACAAAATGTAATTAAACATACACCTTTATAAGTGAAAATTCTTAATTTTTGATAAGAAGTTTTGATATTCAAACGATTTTAACCACGTTTAACAGATGGCGCTAATTTAAATATTGTGTAGCTTGTGTCTTGTGCGAGAGGCCTTGTTTACTAAATGTTCTTGCTAGTATAGGTCACGTATAATCTAAGTGTTTAATAATTAACTGTAATATCCCTGTTGTGTACACTAGACATCTAGTTTTTTAATAGAATAATATTGTGCAACGTACAAAAAATGCAAAAAATTGTTGTTAACCATTTATACTAAGGTCGATAGTGATTAAAAGTGAATTGCGTAGCCTCAATCTATGAAATTAGTTATAAAATTACTAACGTTCAGCTTTCATCCAATATTGATTAGAATTCAGTAAAATTCTTCACTCGGTCATAAAACAAACGGTCTTAAACACCAATGCTATTTTGCTTTGATGTGATATGACCGCAACTACAGCGAGAAAATAATAATAATAATATATCTCACACACGGCCGTCTGATCCCAAACTAGGCAGAGCCTGTACTATGGTAACCAGACTGCTGATAAACATACTTATATATTTTTAAATAGATACATATTATAGATAAACTATACCCAGACACAGAACAAATGACCGTGCTCATCACACAATATTTGTCCTGGGTGGGAATCGAACCCACGACCTCCGGTTTAGCAGTCAGGGTCACTAACCACTAGACCAACAGGCCCGTCAATAATTTTAGTATAGACCTTATTACATTGCTCGCTTATAACTTTCTAACAGGACTGCTAAGGAACTCAACTTCTTCTATACTCTAAAAGTAGCTTACTACTTAAAAGGCCGTTGCAGTCACGCATGTTTCGATTTCGCCAGGATTCGACAGGCCTGTTGGTCTAGTGGTTAGTGACCCTGACTGCTAAACCGGAGGTCGTGGGTTCGATTCCCACCCAAGAAAAATATTGTGTGATGAGCACGGTCATTTGTTCTGTGTCTGGGTATAGTTTATCTATAATATGTATCTATTTAAAAATATATAAGTATGTTTATCAGCAGTCTGGTTACCATAGTACAGGTTCTGCCTAGTTTGGGATCAGACGGCCGTGTGTGAGATATATTATATTCTTGATCAAGGGGTAAAGCGACCTGTCTCATTGATGTCAAGTGATGATCTGAACTAGTTACGTATACGCAATTCGTCTAGTCAGGTTTACACATACATAAGTACAACCATATTTATTTTTATAATTATAAAATAATGCTCAAGAAAGTTTTTTGCTATTGGCTCATATTTATTTGTATAAGTACTAAAGTGCCAACTTTTTTTAACCAAACTAGATCGTCAATTCAAAGGTTGACTATTTATAAAGGATTATGGTTTTACTTATATGTGTAAATCTCCTGTTTATTCCATCTCTTCGGATATATTATATGTCCACACATCAACAGCCTATACTAGTCCACTGCTGGACATAAGCCTCTCCTTAGAAAGGAGGTTTTGGCCTACTATACCACGCTGGCCAGACGGGTTGGTATAGGGTTTGTTTCAAGTTTTCCTTCTGTCCAACTCCTTCAAATCACTTCTGATGTTAACGTTACGGGTTCCTGGGCAGTTTATCTTTTCCTGGGACTTCCCGAGTGTCATAACTCGGTGTGTTTGTGGGTCAGTGCTGTTGGTCCTGGTGTACAGAAGTTACAGTAGTGGGCGTATGAGAGGGATTAGCCCCAAATGTGTGTATGGGGGAAGCACGTCTTTTTTCGGATCCGTTGGGAGATTTACATCAATGGTGAGGTGGTCTTTTCCGATGTATGCGACGCAGGCAACGCGCAAAGCCGACATATGCGTTAGTGTTGTGGACTGTAGTCTATTCGCGTTTAGAAAATGTGATGCATCAAAGCTTGACACGAAACGTCACTATTTTCTTAAAGCGAATAGACTATAGTTACTGTCTGACCTTGACTACTTGACCACAGAGTGTTGTTCATTGTCTATGGCTATTTTAGACTTATATTACTTGTCTTGAATGTCTTTTATTAAGATTATACTCGTCATTTTAACTGTGTGAGTTTAAGTTTGTTTGTGTTACCCAACTGATTATTATGAAATTTTGTATTTTATACAACTTTCATGAAAAAAATGGCTTAGCAATTTGTTTGACGTTGGCATTGACGAGTGTAGCTGCATGGAAATGCTATTATGCAGTAAATCCATCTTCTGTAAACAAAAAGCATTAAAACTAGTGTCCAACAGAGGTTAGATTTAGTATAAAATTGTTATTGACGTAGTGTTTAAAATATAAACAAAAATATACATTTATAAATTTGCCAAAAAAATAAATAGAAGTGATAAATTTTGCGCCTTACAAATGTTTATAAAAAGTACTTGTGCTAATGTAGACTTAGAGAAAATGCGTGTGGCATTAAGTCCGCCATTGTACAACTCATACTTGTGCATAAAGAATTAAATGTCTACAGCAGAGTACAGAATGATGTACCTTGTGCGTAGTGGATATGTTATGTTACTGTGGAGTAAGTGTGCCTGTCTACTGGGTACAGAGTTATATATGTAATGTTGTTGTTGCAATTAAATTAGGACATATTTTGACATGACAACGTCTTATAATTCGATGGAGCCGACTGCACGCACGAAAAAACATGACTCATGCGGCGTTACCTCGCTCTGAGGCGTTCCATTTAAGGCGCGAAGTGCAAGCGAGAGCGCGGAACGAGCGACAAAGAGGCACAATCGGCCTCCGCGTTCGGCAGCGTTCGACATCTGTCTCTCTCCTACTTGAGTGAGCGATGCGTCCGCGTGGACAGCTGCTACTCGTATACAATAATACATTTTTGAAAAATGCAACCATTCCATCAGTATTTTCTTATGACGTTGTCACGTTCAACTATCGTCAGTAAACCGACTTTACAGACACCGATTTTTTTTTAAATCAAATCTTGGTAACAATACAAAAAAAATCACAAAAGTTTTTTTTACATAGATAAATGTTTCAAATACAACACCGGCTAGTCAAAGACCGTCTACATTAACATGTAATATCGGTGCCTTTTCTATGTAATTTATAGCTTTTTACGTTTATACATTTATGTTTGTGGGAATTATTGTGTACTCTGACCACGGCCAGTGCAACCTGGTCGAAACGTCGGGCCTATTTAAAGGTGAAGATTATGTATTTAAAACCGCTATAGTTGTTGTACATTGTTTATCGAAGATATATACTAGTTAAGGTGCAAGGTACTTATTATAAAGAACGTACTGTTTTGACCCTTATAAAATTAAAGTAAAGTTTTTGACTTTTCAGTCAATCGATGTATTTATAAAAAATGATTATATAAAATTTATTATATGTGAAATTATAATAAATAATCCCGTGATAACTGATTCCCCGATTTTGGGTATATATTTTAGTAAAAAATGTTTGTTTTAATATAAAAGAGCCCCTTCATAATTGAGTTTAATTGAAATCGAATATGGTTGAAGTTTATATGTATATTGGTACTAATTCTGTTGTTCGAAAACTCTCTTAACTAAACTAAAAATCACTAAAAATTTGTTTCGTCCTGTCAAATTTGGCAGGACTAAAAATTTTTTGGGGATTTTTAGTTTAGTTTAGAGAGTTGTCTACCACCATTGTCTGATAAAAATCGTCATGTCACCAACATGTTTTGAAGGAAGTTAAAAGACTTCAATTATTACCACTATACAGAATTTAAAACGGTTTTACAAAACCATTTTAACGTAAATTCTCATTGCAGTGAAGTCTCCGTTATGCGTGTGCATATTTGATATCCTTTAGAAACTCTTTGTAAAAAATGCTCATTTTTTTAGTAATTTTTATAATTGTGTCAACAGTTACCTCAAAAAATTTTGATACTTTAGAATAAAATTTTCTACTGTTTTAATTATTTTATAACTTTTATTGTTATGTATAAAAAAAGGTGTTCGTATGAACAATATGAAAATGTAATCGTCCGACAAGTGTCTTACGGAGAAATGCCTTTTTAATAATGAAATATAAAAAAAAAACAATTTTTGTATGTATTTTTGAATGTTACTGTTTAATCTCGCCAGGCAGCGTATGAACTCAATGCTTTTTACTTTTTATATGTATAGAAGAATATTGACATGTGCAGCTCGTGAATTTAGGTCCAAACACGAATGGTTCGAAACTAAACTAAAATAAATAGTACACTATGGAATCTATTTAACCATAAACAAGAAGAGTGCTCGTTCATCTATACAAATAAATAAAATTGGAGTGTCTGTTTGTAATATTAAAATAACCGCTTTCTACTAAATGCATATGTATGTTTACACGGTACGTATGCCAAAATAACATTTTTTTCAATTTTTGTCTGTCTGTCTGTCGGTCTGTCTGTTTGTTCCGGGTAATCTCTGGAACGGCTGGACCGATTTCGACGGGACTTTCACTGGCAGATAGCTGATGACATAAGGAGTAACTTAGGCTACTTTTTTAGACTAGCTTCGCCCTGCGGCTTTGCCCGCGGTTATAACAACAAATGCGGGTAACACCGCGGGTCTCAGCTAGTAAAAAAATAAAAAAACCGACAGTGTTTGGATATAAAATGCGTGTCTAGAAATTCCTTTTCTGGTTTTAAAATGCCAATATTCGATAAAAAAATGTAATCTATGTATTTGTAGTCAACTAAGTAATGTAAGTGAACTTATAAATTAATGTTAAGTGATTTTTTACATAGTCGCCGCTCCACTTATTTATTAAAGGCTATTTATGGCTTTGTGTTGCCAACTTGGTGTTGTTTTATTTGTATCTACAACCCTTTTTAAACGACTTTAAAAGAAGGAGCATGCTTATAATTCCATGATTATTCGATTCGAAAAATTCTTTTCTGTTTGAATGTGTGAACTGTCTTGTCCACTTGTCATCAGATCAGGATTAGATTCTGGTGAAATTGACGAAATTTAATAATAATAATACTATTTTCCGACATCTGACACACGACGCCATCTAGTTTCAAACTAATACATATATCAGTCCACTGCTGGACATAAGCCTCTCCTTAGAAAGGAGGTTTTATACCACGCTGGCCAGACGGGCTGGTATAGGGTGTGTGTCAAGTTTTTCTTCTTTTTGCAGTGCTGGTGTTCTGCATTGTTTTGCGCTCTTGGTCGGCTCTTACGACACCCACGGGATGAATTGGGGTAGTGACATTCCGTATTCTTAATCCGTCACTACACGGACAAACTAAGCAAAGCAGAAATTATAGTAACCTACGGCTCCTTCAGCGATTTGGGTTTTTTTTATAGTAACGTGTAATTGATGATGAATGATTAACTGATGGTGAGGACATCAGAGGGCCTAGTGTGAGTGTCTTTTACATCAATCGATCATCGCGGTGAACCCGTTCTGTGTTGCAATTGATGAAGAGTTCAGTAAGGCCTTCTATACCCTCGAATTTATGCTCGTTACAGTACACATAAGTATAAACCAGACAATTCCGCAACACCATAGATAAAAGCAATGTTACAATGGGTCATGAGTGGTAGTGCAATACTTGGATGTACTCACCTACCAATATTAGGAGATAATGGATAAATTAAAAGAAATAAATAATTTATACATGTTGTTTATTCATCGGAATAACGTCAATCATGAAGTCCCACATTACTTAAGTCGCTTTATTTGTTTAATTTCAATAAATATATTACAGATCTATGGTTTAAGTACGGGTACATTATCATGCTAATTACACTTATAACTTAATTAGACAAACCATAATTATTGGGTGCTACTTTAACGAAGCTTAGTAGTTACGTCAATGTGACGAAATCACTTAAAAATCATACTGAAATCATACAACCAACTGCTTTATTCAAGCAATTTAATGCTTTTTTTTTTAAATGTAATTGATGAACTCTATGGTTTAATCAGACGAACTTGAATCGACCACAGATTTAGTAACTATTTCTCTCTGGTCTGTAGTCGAACATCAAATGTTAATTTTTAGACAATTTATCATCAAACTTATTTCTATATTCGATAAAGGCCAAATACTTTTAAAATAAATACAGTTGTGTTTAAATCAATAGACATATTTGTGTTAATACGTGAAAGAGAGGCTTTCGTTAATAGAAAACTTTTTTAAACGTGAATAGGCCAACTTTTAATTTAAATTGCCAAAAATATATACTTATATACTCTTTTCTGGAATGTTTTCGATGTGTCTTCGATTTTAATTGGGATATGAGGAGTGGAAAATTTTTTACCTAACCAGAGTAGCCAAAAAATATTCAAATACGTCTAATCGATGTGAGAAACTCGACTAAAAATATTTATCAACAGAAAAAGTTATCGATTAAGTAAGTAATTTTCTGTATCATATTTTTAATAGATCTAAACTGTTAACATAGCAATCGATAACACTTAGAAATCATTTGGACTAAAAAGAATATTTAAAACTGTGAATACATATAAATCTATAAATAAATAGCTGTATGTGTCGCAGTACTTATTAGTAAGTGAAGTATTCAATAATACGAATCAAGAATCGATGTAATTAGGGTGAAAAAATCATAATATCTACGGTATAAATTATAATGTAGGTATATTAGATTGTTATTTTTCGTTACAGTGAGATGTTTGCTGTTATGAAGGTACACTTAGTGTACTTGTACGATTCCTATAAGTAGATTGTACACATACACCAATTATTGCATGCAATATATGTGTTAAGGTTACTGATAAACAGTTAATTATATTCGTTGTAACCAGTAGGTACACTAATACAGGGCCGCATATTTGGATCATTATTTACAAGGCATTCTGTTCATACGTAAGTACCTAGTATGATGGATGTCATTAGATCAAAACTTTATTATTTATATATCAATACAAACTGATTAAAGTACAGCAACCAACTAAAATAAAATTATATAAACAATTCTACATCTTGTATCTCAGAAGTACCTAAGTTTTAATATTTATTATAAATGCCTACACACTTAACAATAGCCCACGGCCCTGTACCGTTCACAAATAAATATCTTTGCTTAAATTTTAAGTACACAGATGAGGAGACATCATGGCCGAAAATATTTGAATCAACAATAGTTTAGACCGTTGGTTAAATCAATACTTTACAATTACAACTAGTTCGATTTACATAGTCTTTTCCTTGCCTCCAAATTAATTTACTTACACAGTTACGGGCACAATTTAATGTCTAAGTTATAATAAGAAGTCATTATACAATATTTTATGTGATACGAGACAGCAAGTCAACGACAGCGTTGTTGGTAAGAGACCAAACTTCAAAATTCTGACTTAATTAATGGTTATGCCTCACTTATTTCGTCACTGGATAATTGTAGGTCTTTAAATGCATTTAGACGTGACGAGACAGAAGACTGAGAATTTAAACTTAAAATGGAGAAGTTGTGGAATCCTGTACATCAAAGCGATTTTCATAACTTTTTGTCAAAATCAAATACAGTCCTGTTAACCTGATTTTAGAAATAGTAAAGCTATAAAACCGTTAAAAAATATATTTTAGATAGCACAGAACTGAAACCAAAATTATAAGTTCTAGTATAGATACATTTTTTGGTTTACGTGAAAATTTAATGAGTTTTCCAGGTAATTCCATAACAAAAACGTTAAACTTAAAAATAATACCAATTCAAAATGTGAGATAGACATGGTTCATGTGCTACAAAAAAACTAAGCCATTATTGATGCGATCACTAAGTCGCTGTCTGGTACCACGTTACATCTAGGTGCTGGAACTTTATACACTAAGAGGCTACGAAGATAAATACTTAACTATGGTATTGCACTCGACTGGACAGCTAGTAATGTACATAATTACAGTGTGTGTGTTTGTGTGTGTGCGGGGCCGCGTCAGTAGAGGTGTGCGGGCGGCGGCGCCTCCGTGCCCACGTCGATGTCGGCCGGGCCCTCCTCGTCCGCGCTGCTGGGCCGCGGGACCCCTCGCACCTGGAGTACAAACATACACTTCCATTACAAGTACTATTACAAGTTCGTCATGATCACAATTCTCCTGACCTACCAAAATTCGTAGGCGTAATGTGGTGCTGCACAGCCTTTATAAACTTCTTGAATAATACTCCAAAGAATTATTCAAATTCATCGTTTAAGAGTATAGATTGAATTTTGCATATCATAAGATGATGCTGTACTTTCCAAAACTCAAAAGAATCTTCAGTTACTCTGCTCAGTATTCAAGAGAATTTGGCTAGTTTTGTTACATTTAATCAAGTCATGGCTTTCCTACCTGCAGTAACAGATTATTATTGAGTAGCCGCGCCTGGTGTTCCTGGGCCTTGGCGCGAAGGCAAGCGATGCTGTTATTGCGGAAAGCTTCAGCATCCTCATACATAGGGCCCGGCTCCGGGGACGCGCGACCTTTGGCTGATGATGAGGCCGTAGTTGAACTTGCTGGAGAACTTTGAGCCTGGAATGTCAAAATAATGATAATAATATTTATTTGGTGATCAAGGGTATACAGTGCTGATCAAAGTTTGAATTAGTAACATTTTTAGAACGTCTTGACTAATAATCTTATGAAATATGGTTGATAAAAGGATTTGATGTTATGCTGTCTGTTAATGGGAATAAATATCATAGTTTTATTGCAGTGCCAGTCAGGGTACTGGGTCATAGCAACACAAGTTGAATATTACGAAAAATATCTCCAACAATTGTCATAAGATAACTCACAAACGTCGTAGTATCTAAGTCACAGACTCGTGAAGGTATCTACAATTCTCTTAAAAAATAATATGTGCTTGCTTCTTTGCTTAAGTCTGTGTCCGTTCTATCAGAAACACGAAGTCTGGTACACTCATGGTAACATCTTACAGTGAAATCATATTCAGCAATATTCTATCGACTCTCACCTGATTATCATGGTTGTCGTGGTGGTGTGGTGAGGCGGAGGAGGCGCGCTCGGGCTCCGCTTCTGACCCCTCGCGCTCCGAACCTGATTCCTTGAGGTGACGCGACGCCTCAATAGATTTTCTGTGCATACCTGTACAAGAAAACGGTAGACTTGAGTGTGAGGTAGCTTGGAGATGTAAATTTAACATTAGCCAGTACTAGTACTACTAGTAATTCTTAAAGGTTTATTTCAATTGTGGCGGTTGTCTGTCCGTCTATACATCGTTAACTAGTCGTTCACGCAACTGAACTTTAAAAACTTATGGAAGTTCTTGCCATAGTAACATTTAGCAAAATGGAACCCGGGCGACGTCGTTCTAAAGCCTGTATTAGTTTAGGAACCACCATCACGATTGGTCAATTAAATTTTGTATCAATTATAACTATAAATAATTAAGTAGTTTCAGAAAGGTACGAGGGGTGATCAATAAGTAATGATAATCAATATGAAACAGAACTATTAGATTAAAAAAAGTATTTTATTTTTCAACATAGTCTCCTTGCAAGTTAATACATTTAGTGTATCTTTTTTCTAAGCCCATTCTTAATTTCTTCTTAATTCCCTTAGAAAAAAATTCTTTGTCTTGACCCTCCCAAAATGCCTCTACTGCGGCCATCACTTCACTATTGTCCTCAAATTTGTTGCCCCGGAGGTGTTCTTTGAGCCGAGGAAAGAGGTAGAAGTCACTGGGAGCTAGATCTGGCGAATAGGGAGGGTGTTCGAGCAGTTCGAACCCCGTTTCTTCAATGGCAGCCATCGCAACTGCGGCTTTGTGAGCCGGGGCATTGTCTTGGTGAAACAGCACTCCAGCGCGCAGTTTACCGCGTCTTTTTGACTTAATAGCTTCTTGCAATCTTCTTATTTGGCCTGCGTAGTAAGAGCCTGTTATAGTGGCCCCCTTTTCCAAATATTCCACCATAATAATTCCTTCTGCATCCCAGAAAACAGACGCCATAACCTTTCCCGCTGAACTTGACACTGTGAATTGCTTCGGCGTTGCTGAGGAAGCTCGTTTCCAAGTCATTGATTGTTGTTTGGTTTCGGGATCAAAGTGGTGGATCCAGGTCTCGTCCATGGTCACAAAACGCGACAAAAAAAATTCTTTATCGGCCTGGAACTTTTGAAGATTCACCCTCGAAATGTCGACTCGTTTCTTTTTTTGCTCGTCGGTTAACATTCTCGGTACCCAACGCGCAGAGACCTTTTTCATATGCATTTTGTTGACAATGATTTTTTGAACGCTGCCATAGGAGATCCCTGTGACCTCAGCTACATGCCTTACGGTCACCCTTTGATCGGCCAACACGATATCTTCCACTTTTTTGACGTTTTCTCCAGTAAGGGACGTGGAAGGGCGTCCCTCGCGATGTTCATCTTCAGTGGAGGTTCTGCCCAGCTTAAATTCCTTTGCCCAGCGTGCGACTGTGGAATATGGAGGAGCAGACTCCCCCAATGTTTCCTCTAGGTCGCTGTGTATGTCTTTGGTAGACATTTTTTTCAGGCAGAGGTACTTGATGACAGCTCTTATTTAATTTTTCTCCATTTTGATGTTTTCTCTTCGACAGTTCGTATTCAAATGAATGTATCTCCCGGTAATGGTGTCCTATTTATACATTTTTTTGAAACTGAAGTAGTGGATATATAAGCAAGCAGAAAAAAAATAATTTGGGTTTTTGTGCGTTCTAGAAATACTCGATTATCATTACTTATTGATCACCCCTCGTACATTTATGATTATTTATAAAATAAAGGGTGTAAGGGACCCGCGGGCTTCGGTTGTTTGATTAATTACATTGCAATTTTTGACTGTATGCGGTATTTATTAATTTGTTTTCTGTATAATGTTCTGTTTACTCATTGTGATATCATTTTTAACCAAAAACAATTGAAAATTGTTAAAAAAAAATATGAATTTTCCTCCAGAAAATTTTAATAATTTTCAACTCAGAATCATGGTCTGAATGCACTATTTCAATATTCGTTACGATGTCCCTTACGCCATGTATATATAAAATATTATATAAATATATTTGCTAATTCATCTCACTAAACAAATTAAGTAAAACTTATTACCGAACTATCCAATGTCTTGTCTCAAACTAGAGAGAGAGACTGTAGAATGGTAACCAGATTGCTGATAAACGCACTTTATAATTTCCAAATACATATAAGTATATATTATGATAAATGACATCCAGACACGGAATGTCCGTGATCACGGCGCTTGCAACAGTGCCGAAATATCAGAAACTGATTGCTTTAAAATAAACATGGTAGATATCCCGTTTATAATAAGTTGTGGCAGTGGGCTGGCCATATTAGCCGCAGAACCGACAACCGTTGGAGAAAACGAGTTCTTGAGTGGAGACCACGTCTCGGCAAACGTAGTGTAGGACGCCCACAGGTCAGGTGGAGTGACGATTTGCGCAAGATGGCTGGCAGGAGCTGGATGCGAGAAGCCCGAAATCTATATAAGTGGCGTGCAATGGGAGAGGCCTATGTCCAGCAGTGGACTGCGATAGGCTGATGATGATGATGATGAATAAGTTATCAAACTCGAAATCGCATTTACATTATTCGTTTTGATAAATATTAAAATGTTTAGCTACAGTCAAGTACAGAAGATTACGTTTTAGATAGACAGATAGGTAGGTACTCTTTATTGCACACCATAATTAGGATACATGCGATGATACATACAAAAAAAACAGTGATACAATGGGCGGCCTTATCGCAGCCTGCGTTTTGTGTTTGATAAAAAACAAAATGTCTTTATACTTTCATGTTGTGTACGAGTACGTCACAAATCTTTATTAGCATATCGTTGTTATTTATTTGCAGTATGTTTACAATTTAACAACATGCAGCTAGTGCCAGCCCTTGTGCAGGGGTGGGTCGCTCGTAAACCACCAGTCGGTCTGAGCGCCGACACATAAAATGTTAATGAGTGACGTGCGCCACACAGCATCCTCCCATGACAGACGGCAAGCACTCCGATATTCCCGGATTGCTAATATATGCTCACATTATGAATGCGTAAGACGTGCAGGTTTGATGCCTGCTCTATGCAGGGTAATCATTTTGATTTATTGCGTTATACATTGAAATTTCTCACAAAGACCGAGTTTTGACGATATTATTTATGTAGGTCTCAGATTCAGTAGTGACTTTTCTACTACTATTGTGGCAAACTTGTCGCCGTGTCTGTAAGATGTCGAACGTGGAAAACTGTATTTTAATTATGTTGTTTAAAAGGCGACATGATTTAGTAGAACATTCTTTTTTTTTAATTTCAAATCAGCAAGGATAGAGGTGAGTCCAAGTTTTGAAACCGCCGTGATTGTCATTTAGAGCATTTTAAATGAATAAATATCATTATTACTTCCATACACAATAATTAAACAACTTATTACTTGCAATAAAACAACTTATAAAACTGCAATTAAATTTTCTCAGCCAAAATTTAAGTAGTCTGAAACTAAAAATAAAAAAAAATATTGATTTTGATAATTATAAAATTGTAATAATAAAAATGTGTTTATTTTCTCATCACAAAAGCGCCATCACCGCTTAATCTAATCCTGATTTCCGAGAGACTTGTGCCCGAGTTAAGTACAGGAATCCTTGTGTTACGGATTATCAGCATCTCAAAATGATGGACTCATTCTTAGTCTTTAGTTCATTCCTAACATATAATAAAATTAGAATAAGTTCTATTTTAGATTATAATCTTTTTGTTGTAAATTTCATTGATATCATATAACAAAAATCTATCAAAACTTTCGCTAAATAAGTAATAAACAAATAAATGTATGTACTACAAAGTGACAACGCGCCATTAACTGAGCGTACCAATTGGGAAAACGTTTCGTCGTATCCGTGTGGTGACGGATTAAGAATACAGAGTGTCACCACCCCTATTCATGCTATGGGTGTCGTAAGAGACGACTGAGGGAGAAAACAACGAAGGACAACAGCACTGCAGAGAGGAGGAAAACTTGACACAAACCCTATACCAACCCGTCTGGCCAGCGTGGTATAGTGGGCTAAAACCTCCTTTCTAAGGAGAGCGGTCCGGCAGTGGACTGTTAAAGGCTGTTGATGTTTGATCGTATAAGTAAAAAAAATAAAATGGTATCGGTTTCTGCCAAAAGTTCGACTATGCTATTTATAGTTTACTATGTTAAGGGTAGTTAAAAGCAAATAAATAACAAAAATATTCACATGCTACGCTGAAGCACAGCCCTGGTTTAATATCAGTGCTGGCGGTATTTTTACGAGTTCTTTAGTACTCTCCGCGCTGAATATCTAATCTCACAGTCGTTATTTATCGCCCCTCAACCCCAGCCCCGCTGGTGGGGATATACTACATTCTTGTATTCCTCGTAATATACTCGTTTGTTGTTTAAAATACTTGGTAGTACGTGATTGGTGTCGAGCGTGCAAAGGTGACGCACTCCGTTTTAAATTATTGTGGTCTAATTTTTATCAGAGGATGTGCATACTACTTAACCTGTTTGCTTGATTTTGACATACATATATGCAATCACACGTATATCCCAGAAACTGGTAGCCAGGGGCGTATTTAAACATTTTGGCAACAGTAATTTTAGTACCACTAACGTAATAGAGGACAAAGCTATTGCAGTTCTCTGAGTATCTTAGGGTTTAGTGTGGCGACTCCCACATACAAAGAAACAGAAACATACTACAGCGCCATCTAACGAAGACATACCAAACTACGCAGTAACTCCTAAATGAGAATTGCTAATCCTGTATCGTGATATGAAGAATTCTCTCACCGATTAGCATATATACAACTTCCCAAAGTCAACAGTAGGGCCGCGGCCCGCCAGGCATGATCACCTCGCCTGGCCGGAGGATCCTCCCTTTCTATTGGAGGAACACGACACCCGTTCCTCTACCATAGTAAAATCAAAAGTAGATAGGAAGGGAAGGAAGAAGAAGAGTAGGAAAAAAATATTGCATACATACAAAGTATAGGCACTATAGGTGGTAATGCCAGCTCTCTAACCAATGATACACTTGATTTTGTTTTACAAGAATTTCTATATTCTACAGCTGTATGTATACATGTTAGCATTATTGAACATGCTCTGATGATATTTCTCTTGCAAGTTTTGCGACTTGTGTGTTGTTTAAATTATCAAAATATGACTTATTAATATAGTTTACGATAGAGTGTTCGATGACAACGAGTAAAATTTGGATTTTAGTCACAAGTTTGTTTCGTATAAGTAGGCTAGGTTATGATAATGGCAGTCTCAATAAAGAACACATTAGTTTCGAAACTAACAAAACATACACAAGTACAACAACCAACAAACCTTTTTCAATTTAAACATTTAGATTGCAAATATTTCGATTCAGTAAACTTCCAGATAAACTTAATTGCACCGTTGCATTGTTGCAATCAATTAGTACTTCGTAAACTATTTTCGGATGTATTTATTGCCGTTTCCAAAATCATTTTTCCAAATCTGTAAGCAACATCTTTAAGATCCTTGGTATATTTTTTAGGATCCTCTATATAACGTTTATTAAATCTTGAGCTCTTTCCAATAGTAAACGGATAGGTACAGCTGCCTGTTAACTACGTTCATTGATAGTGCAGGATTCATTTAAATACAACATTAGATAATTTTACCACAGCTTGCACTGAGTTGTACCAGACAAGCTACGAAGACAGGCAGAAGAAAAAGAAAAGAAAACTTCCTAAAACTATATGTTTTATTATTATTATGATGATGTTCACCACCAGTATCACTAAAATTATAAGGATCATGTACAACCAGTTTTTTAGATGTACAGCATTAAGTTACTTTAAATTTTTACGATTACGAGGTGTTAAGGTATCCAAGTTATTTATGAAAACTTGTAATTGGCTATCATTAGCTATTATTAATATGCCAACTGTCCTCTCTAGCTATAAGTTTTCTAAACATAATAAAATAAAATAAACTGCAGGTAAGTAAGAAACTGAAAAGTTGTATATTTAATATAGTGTACCGGTAGTACATAGTTTTGGTGTTTTTTTATGCTAAGGGGGGCTAACGAGTATTCAGGTTACCTGTAAGTAAGTGATTAACGCCGGTCATCAACTCATGCAGCTCAGGAAACACAGGTGAGTTGACGTTCTTTGAATACTCCCATGCCCCAGAATGGGAGATTTGGGCTCCGATAACTTTACTCACTCGGTGAAATCAAGGAAACAAATGCTAAACACAGATTTTCTGTAAGGCCTCGTGGCCCACATGCGCCAAATCTTTACTCTCTCACAGTAAAGAGTTGTTTGATCGAAATTTCTGATAGTAATTTATAACGTTAATTGAAAAACAATTAATTAGTGAGTATCTATAATAAACTCCTTACTTACTTACTACTACCAAAAAATAAAGGAACATATCGCAACTAAATTTAAAACATCTGAAGAACTGAACAATATCATTACAAGAGGTATGTGTGTGCAGTGAGGCTATAAACACTTCCAAGTCCCGTTTTGTCGATTATTGCCCGACTATATAAACGTATCTTTATCTTTACGACTTTATTTCCTACCATAGCAAAAAAAAACATTTATTATGAGAAATCTTTGTCAGTATAAGATTACGTGTTGTGTAGCTAATCACCACCAATTCTCATACTAACTCAGAGCCACAGTTGTCAATGTACAATTAACGAAGCGAGCACACCCCAATCAATCACCACTGAAGTTAACCGGGCATTAGGCGTGCCCGATACAACGTGATTTGTGAGCGCATTACCCAACTTTACCCATTAACGCGTGTAGTTCCCACCGCGGCGCCACTGTCCACAGTGCCATTGTAAATCCACTTGATTTAGGACTTTGCTGTTTTGCACTCGAGTACTACGAAGATTAATTAAGAATATTTTGTGAACAAGGTACGGATGATCTCTGGAACTTGGAACTTGAAGTTACAAGTTAAGAGTGAAGGAGTTGAATTAAAAATACTTCAGAAATGCGCATAAATGGCAGAAATCATATTATGCGAATGAACTTTTGGTAAATAATAGTAATTTAATTTTAATAATTAATTCTTCGATGTTATGTTTTGATGATGAGGTATTGAGATTTTGCCAAAAGTTTGCTAAAATTGACTAAAAGATGTCTTAATCCGTAACGTAAATCTGGCTCAACCCTCCGTCCAGGATTGCCCCCCCATACCTTCATTTATTCTTTTCCAATAGGCTTAAGATAGTAGAAAAGAGCTTTAAGCAGAGTTGCAGTATAATTATGGTCCCCAATGCTTGATTTCTCCCCCGAGTTCAGGAACGTAATATTTTCATTAATCGCCTTTTGCAGAGACAATTAGCAAAACTAATGATACAAAAAATTATAGTTATATTTAATTATTGCAATATAATGTGCTCAATTTAAAAGTAAATATAATACAACAGACTTTAATCTTTGTCTGTTGATATCTGATTACAGGCGCGTTTATACTAGTCGGTGTGTAATCAAAATAGGTGAATAAAACTAGTGTACCAGATGAACTTTATTTGTGGTGTGTTTTGTGAATGATGCGGTGTGTTTTATAGCTATTAATTCTCCAAGTAGTAGTCTACCGTAGTAGAATTTACCCTCGTTACGTTCGATAAATGTATTGTCAAAATAAATTTATTTCTTAGGTTTTGTTATCTTTCATTTTCTAAATAAAATATTTTTCAGTTTCCCTGTTTTTGTACCCTAATTTTAGTTTATTCTTTGAATTCTTACAGTAGCGCACTACAAAATAGTGCTGTAAAACAATTTACATGATATTATTATTCTATTTGATTATTTAAAATAGTGGCCACGAGTTTTTTCTTCAGTTTATACATAATATATACTATATGGTTATAGATCGACAGAGGCAGTTAACGTATTATAAATGTTTTTTTTTTAATAATTTTACTTTTGAAAACAAGTAACCTGTTATTGCGATGACTGTATAGGTCTATAATTTTAATCATGTTTAAAAAGAGAACCACTTAAGAAGAGAAAAAGAGAAGAGGTTTCGAATAATCGGTGAATAACGGATTATTATTGTAATTTCAAGTAAAATTCTGCCAGAGGTTTTTGTACGATTTTATACAAATCAAACTACTTTTATGTTGAATACGTACAGTACTTCTATGTGTACAGAAGCAGAAATTATATTTGGTACACTTAATGCACGTAGTGGGTTAAATATTAAATAACGGAAATGCACGTAGAAGAAGTGTAGGAATTTAAAACTAATAAACAGTATGAAGTATAAAGATGAAAAGTTATGCATGCCATAAAGCAATGGCGAAAATAAAACGAGACATTCAAAGCGGTCGAAATTTGTCTCATCATCAACATCCTTTAATAGTCCACTGCTGGACATAAGCCTCTCCTTAGAAAAGAGGTTTTCACCTACTATACCACGCTGGGCAGACGGGTTGGTGGTTTGGTTGAGGGTTTGTGTCAAGTTTTCCTTCTCTTTGCAGTGCTGTTGTCTTGCTTGGTTTGCTCCCTTAGTCGGCTCTTAGCAGATGAATAGGGGCGGTGACCCTCCCTATTCTTAATCCGTTATCAAGAAACAACAAGAAGCAATTTTAACCTTGCAGAACAGCAAAGTCGACACATAATTGCTTTTCTTTCAAGCAAGATATCCTAGTCAATAACGAATCGTTGTATCAACTTGAAGCAGCCATCAAAGAGAAAAGGCCTCATCGCAAACTTGGCGCATTTTGCCACACATTTGCACCTCTCCAGCGCTGCTTCGCCGCTATAAAACAGTTTTAACAATAGCATGATGTACGTGAGATATCCTTTTGTGCACTTTACTTTAGATAATGGTTCTGTGGCGTCCTTACGTGCTGTCGTCCCTGCGTGGTAGCGGCGGGCACAAAGCAAGTGGGTAATCGCCACATAATTCCATGATGCATTAAAAAGCATTTGTACGAGATGATAGAGATGCTCACTCCAAGTCGAGGAGTGCACGGATGCCTTTGATATTCAATTTTGTGCGCAATTTTGTTGAGTAGGTAATTGATAAAATTGATTAGATATTCGTTTAGTGATGAGTCTTTACTTCATTGGAGTTTTTATTCTACTTTTTTCAACAAATACACTTTAGTGAGTAAAAATTGTAAAGTACGTTTTAGTGGTGTTAGTTCTATATTTATTATTAGAGAGTGAAAGGTTAATATTATTTTAACTGCAATGATAATTTCTCATAAAAGAATTTATCCGATTTATTTTTATAAGTGAGGATTTGTTAGCGTAGCTATCTTTATGGGCTGGGCTGTAAATTTTTCAGAAAATTAAAAAATAAATTAAAAAGATATTAATTTTTGACCAGGTGACACTGAGTCAAAAATACCCAACTATCCACCACTAAGGCACCCTTAAAAGTAGCAATTAATTAATGATAATGATTTTTTTAAATATTTTTATTTTATTTTATTGTTTTTTAATTTATTAACTATTATTGCTTTAATAAGTTACTGTACATATTTATTAACAGTATTCAAGTCCTAATTTCTTCCATTAAGAAATCTTAATAAATTTAGGACACATCATTCATATAAAAGATATATAAAAATACATCCAAATAAACAACATACTTTTATATTTAAAGATGTTCAACTGTAAGCAGTAAATAAAGTGAACACAAAACATGAACACAACCATCCAACCAACGGAGGCTAAGTCATCGCCATTAAAGTATACCTACCCTTAGCCATACCTACCTTTAAACATAAGAGGCAGGTAGAAAAACACCACCGGAACACAGCTAAGTACATAATTAATATGTAAGCCGGCAGTGCCAACCCTTAAATCAACGTTAATCAACGCTTAGACAATGCGGCCGCCATCTTGCCGCCCCCCGGTGAGGCTATAGTCCCCCTTCCGCGCGTCCCATACACCCGCCCACCCGTCCTCGTCGCCCCCTCCACCGCCGCCTGCCCTCCCCGCGCAGGCTCTAGGGGAGAACTTAGCCTTTATTAATTCATATCTCTAGATCTCGTTTCAGTTTTTATGTCTTTATAATTCAAATCATGCGCTTTATTTGAAATCAGGCGGTGGATAATGGTTGGTCGGTTTGTTTGTGTGGGCGTAGCTTGTTTGTTTTTTAATGTGTCAAGTTCTCGTAGCATTATGCTACGACAGCTACGACGCTACAAGATATTATCACGACTTAATACAATAAAATAAATCAAAGGATATAATTTGTTTGTCTTATAGAAGTGAGTTGTCCACACACACTTATAGTTAACTAGTAAAAGTCAACTTACAATTACACTAAATCATGATAATACAGTACAAATAACGAACACAAAACAAACTCTCCACACAAACACACATTCTCAACAATTCCACTGAAACGAATATAACCTCCTCATAAGCTGTCAACAGATTCTTGTTTTCATACAAAACACTAACATATCATTACCCCGTAAACCAACCTTATGGTAAAGACATAAAATTCAAATTCGCCTGTTTTGGAGTAAAAGCATTTTTGTGCGAGCTACGAGGCTTTCCGCAGTGAAAAATGAACATCTCTTGTTGTTGGGATTAAAAATTATCCGTCGCTTTGTTTTGGTCGTGGCTCAGTCCTCTCGGTGCCTCTCACTCGTACCTCTTTGGCACACACTATTAGTTTTGAAATAAAACTCCTTTAGCGACCTACTTTAATATAGTCTGATGAAATATGATTAGAATGAAACTCTTTGGAATTGAAAAAGAGACAACTCGGTGTATTAATATCGTCTTTAAATTATAATGTACGAGTATCTTTGTGAGAGTGCCATTTGGGGATGGGAATCCTAACTAATAATATAAATGTGAAAGTGTGTGTGTTGGTGTTTGATCATCATAAAGTTGTATTTACATGTTGCCGTGCTTTCAAAAATGTTCTGTTTAAGAGAGATGGGAGGCGAGGCGAGGGACCTGAATTAATTGATAAATTTACGACAGCAATGCTCCATGCAACCAGGCTCGTTGGCTTCGTTTTATAAGTTGATGCTTTGTATGTGGCCCATCGCATGGTCAAGACCACAAAATCATACGGACTATCGGCTTGTATTCAGCGCTTTTTTTTAAGTACAGGTTAAAGATTGAGCAATAAACACATTCAAGGTTCAGCAAGAGAACGGCTGCTATTAGTCTTTTAAAAGCTATGGATGTAGAGATTTGAGCCTTAGATCATTGATGACATGACAGTCTAACGGGACATCCGTTAGACTGTGAAAATTGTGAAAGAAACTGTGTTTTGTGTGTGTATCAGCCGTATTCTTGCTGTCCGTGTGACGCTCGATTTGCACACCGGCATAATGAAGTCTACCCGTTTACAACACTTCATCTAGACAAAAGCGATCTAAGTTTTAGCACACTTCTTTTTATAACTTATAATGTCATGCCTTCTGAGGGAGCAAACTACGCAGGACAACAGCACTGCAGAGAGAAGGAAAATTTGAAACAAAACCTATATCAAGTTGTCTGCCAGCCAGCGTTGTATAGTAGGCCAAAACCTCAATTCTAAGGAGAGTCCTATGTCCAGCAGTGGACTGTTATAGGCTGTTGATGATGATGATGAATGTCTATCTGCTGGGCAAAAGCACCTATTAAATCTCTTCATACATAGATACATTTACATAAAGTTGAACCTATTCTTGACCGTTACATCTGACTAATTATTTGTCACATTTGTGATGATTTTGTTCAAGACCTGAGCTAATTAGGGACTTAGTGCGCTAATATGCATTTAGTATGTCTATGCAGCTGTTTTATGAATGTTTATGTGACTCACCAGGGCTCGGTGGTCGGGGGAGGGGCGAGGGGGACGAGGCGAGCCGCTACGGGCGCCCCCCGTCGGCCAGGGCTCGAGACTCTTGAACAAAATCAGCACGGTCAGATAGTAGCCCAAAACACGCTCTGTGACATGGCTATGGCGCTGTCACAAGGTTCAAGATCTGTTTATATGTCTTGGGCATTATATTACATTGTTCTCACATATCCTTTTTATTTTGTAAGCAATGTAACTAAAAATGTTAAAAAAAATGGGTATGTCGAAAACCAGACTCCTTGGAGTTTCTTGGCTGTTCTTCTCCATAGGATCAGTGCATTAAACAGGCAACTAACCTGTGTGGTGACGGATTAAGTATACGGAAAGTCACCACCCCTATTCATCCCGTGGGTGTCGTAAGAGCCGACTAAGGGAGCAAACTACGCAGGACAACATCACTGGAAAGAGAAGGAAAACTTAAAACAAATCCTATACCAACCCGTCTGGCCAGAACCTCCTTACTAAGGAGAGGCCTGAGTCCAGCAGTGGACTATTAAAGGCTGTTGATGAATACTGACTACTGATTTACACTTCTATTCCTTATAATTCTTAACAATTAGGTCATTTTTCAGAGACAATATGCCAATTTATATTATTACACGTTTTTTTTTATTGTGGGAACCATTTTTAATATTTAAATACTAGAACTTGTAAGCTAAAGGGAAATTTATGAAGTCTCTAATACATAGTGATGTATATTATGCAAGCAGCGTTGTAAGACGAATCCTGTTTTTATGCATAATTTACACTAGCTAAATTCAATACTACCTACCGTACCGTCATAGTCCCCCTTTAATGTATTCGAAGAATTGATCGGAACTGGATGGGGAAGCCTGCATTCACTATTGATCCACAGCCTTTTTTTATAAAATCTAGTTTGTTGATACTAAGTCAAGACTTTTAGTTTTACAATTAAAATGTGGAAGACATTTTGGGGACAAATACAATAAACAACGATATACTAAAGTACTTACTTACCTTAATAAAATGGTGTTGTTTTTAAAATCCTACTCCTAACTAAAGTGAATTTGTTCTGTTTTTTATTATTTAACCACTTAACCCATTATCTGGATATTTTGCATACATGTACTGTGAGTGAATACTTCTACTTTGTACTGAACTTGTACGGTGTTTGCTAACTTAAGTATGAATGGAACTACAATAATAATACTATAACCATGGGATATATAACTAAGTAAATCTAATAGTACAGTATAAGTGCTAAGCTAGAGATCGTGTGTTTGATTCCCACTCAGTTCAAATACTTGTGTGATGAGCACCGTCATTTGTTCTGTGTCTGGGTGTAATTTATCTACATATATTATGTATGTATTTAGAAATATATAGGTATGTTTATCAGTAATCTGGTTACCATAGTACAGGCTCTGCTTAGTTTGGGATCAAACGTCCGTGTGTGAGACGTGTAAGGTTTTTTTTAAAGGTTTACAAGCAAATGCCGCAGTCAATTGCGCGATCTGTGCAAACGTGTAACGAAATGATACTTAACGGCGTTTGTCTTTAAATATAATTTCGTTTACGTAATATACTCGTATTTATGCGGTAAGTGATAAAATTAGTCTCACCAAACTCACCGAGTAGCCAGGGCGCGACGGAGTCGTTCTCCTTGGCGCTGTTGAGTATGGTCTCCGGGAGAGGCAGGGAGTGGCGCACCATGGCCCCGTACAGCCCATACTCGGCCATTATCGTGGATCGGCCCCAGCATTTTTCTGTCTTACGCCATTTCGCACGACGGTTTTGGAACCAGACCTGAAGAAGAAGAAACCTTTTTATTTATGTATTTAAAAAACAATTCAAGTTAATGATGTTTCAGACTTCTGCTGCTCTAACATCGTCTAGTTTTTCAACAATAATTTCGTAATCAACCTTAGTGTCAAGGTTGGGTACATGGGTACTAGTATTTTGTCATAATAGTGTTATTTCTACTATTATTATTTTTTATGTTAGAGGGGGCAGACGAGCAGACGGGTCACCTGTTGGAAAGTGACCATCGGCGCCATTGAACGTCTGCAAATCAGGAGTCACAAACGCGTTGCCGGCCTTTTGGAAGGAGTACGCTCTTTTCTTGAAGGTTTGAAGGTCGTATCGCAAACGATAACCCGTTCCACTATTGGCCTCGCAGTATCAATCAGCAGACAACCAATCAAAGAACAGACGTGTCACCTGATGGTTAGTGACAACCGCCGCCCCTGGACAGCTATAACTCAAGAGTCACAAGTGCATAGCCATCCTTTGAGACCTCTCCCAGAGGGGCAGGGGGTTTAGGCTCCGGTAATCTCACTCACTCGGTGATTTGCAACGTAACAGTTGCTTAATACCGTTTTTTCCCGGTGTGGCGACATCCATATACGGTGAAACAAAGAAACATACTACAGCGCCATCTATCGAAGACACACCGAACTACGGAGTAACTACTAATTCTGTATCGCGATATTAGCAATTCTCTCACCAGTTAGCATATATACAACTTCCCAATATCAACCGACCAGGCACGATCACCTTGCCTGGTCGGAGGATCCTCCCTTAGTGTTGAAGGTACATGACACCTCGTTCCTTCATACCGGTATCGGTTGCCTGCGGTATTTACGGCCTGATACGAACTTCAAACCTTAAAAAAAGAATCTACATCTTTCTGTATCTAGAAGACAAACAACGCAATTTGACGGGCCTGTTGGTCTAGTGGTTAGTGACCCTGACTGCTAAACCGGAGGTCGTGGGTTCGATTCCCACCCAGGACAAATATTGTGTGATGAGCACGGTCATTTGTTCTGTGTTTGGGTGTAATTTATCTATAATATGTATGTATTTAGAAATATATAAGTATGTTTATCAGCGGTCTGGTTACCACAGTACAGGCTCTGCCTAGTTTGGGATCAGACGGCCGTGTGTGAGTGTGTGAGATATATTATTATTATATTATTAATGATGGTTCTTGCCTATTAATTGACGGCGGCAGTCACTTCGTTGGCCCCGAATATAGTATAAGAAAACTTCACAGAATTCAATAGGCCTCTTAATATACTCGACCTACACTTTATCGGTTTTTAACGTAAAAGATACTTTCAGGCGAGGGAACAATCAACAGATTTGTGCTCGAATTATATCTGCTAACAAAAGAAGGTTTAGACTGCGGACGACAGCTATTGTCTGAGAGTTTATAGTTTTTCGAACATCTGACACACAACGCCATCTAGTTTCAAACTAATAATAATAATAATATTTAATAACATCAAATTAAGCACAAATTTTCTAATACAACATAATTTTCTTAGGTTAGTTAGGTACACAGTATTTTTACATACATAGTATTTCACCTTATTGATACACTTAGAAAAAAAAAGAAACAGAATACACACAAAATCATTGATCAATGACCCCATGCTAGGAACATCCTGTGTTATGGGAGTCATCCATCCGTCTGTAATGTGTTCAGGTGTGCTTTAAATGTGATAGCTGTTTATATATATTTATTTTTAATGATACATACAAGAGAAGGAAGTAAGAAAAGAAAATAAAAATAAAAAGACAATATAGGTGGGTAAGTTCGTAAGGTTGGATGTGTCGTAGGTAGTGCAAGTGTGTGTATTATTGTGAACCTATAATAACGTTAGGGAATAACATATACCTTGCATAATATTTGACTGTGGGTAAATATTGATTGGAATAAGTGTAGATATATTTGCGGGTTGGTTTAGAAATCAAATGACTGGTGATTTAATCAGATCCTCTGTTTCATCATAATTTAGGGTTAGGAGGTACTGTTTGATTCGGTCTTTGCAGTGGTGTGTGTTTAAAGTGTGTATGTTAATTTAGTATTTAGCTTTTTATATAGATTAACTAGCTAGATTGACTGATAAAATACTTATATACTTTTTTTGTCAATACATACTCGTACATAGACTACACCTAAACTCCGAAACAAATATTTGTAGATAATATAACCATTTGGTCCGACCCGGGCATCGAACCCGTGACTTCAGCACAGCAGTCGCATACGGTAACACTGCACCACTGAGGCAGTCATCAGATTATTTGTATATCACTCTTAACATATATATATCTCCTTGGAAGTACGATCGAGGGAGCTCTGAGAAATAAACTCATATAGGACCCTTAAAATGTTTATAGGCTTATGGTAACCGCTTATCAAAAGATAACTGCGGTTTGATACATGAGTTGTATAAAAACTCATCATCAATGAGTTTTCTCATCAAAGGGGGCAAACGAGCAGACGGGTCACCTGATGGTAAGCAACTAACGCCTGGACATCTGCAACTCAAAAGGCACAAGTACGTTGGTGCCTTTGGAGTCCCGCTCGAGTTAGCGGGAGGGGGGATTTGGGCTCCGGTAACCTCACTCACTCAGTGAAAGGCAACGAAAGACCAGATTGCTTAACACGAGTTTTCTGTGAGGCCGTGGGATCACTCCGGACCGGCCATTCGTGCCGAAGCATGGCTCTCCCACGGTAAAGTATTGTAAGTAACATAATGCTGTGCTATTTCTTCTTCACAAATGAATGAAGAAGTGTCATAGTTAACTTCACAACACAAGCCTTTAAACAAATCATAAAGGTTAGTAAGATTAGAACATTGTTCACTTTCAGAGAGGTGTAACCGCCACGGAGCGTCACCGCCCCCTGTCGGCCGCCGAGATAACTAAGCGTGGAAACAAACCAATTATCGTGAACAAAACGCAACTAGATTAAATTTTCAAATTCAGCGGCGCTCGGTGTTTGTACACACTGACTAACCTAGGGTTGGCGCATGCTACAAAATCATTCATTTAATATATTTGTATGTGTAGTTAGTTTGTTAAAACTCAATGCCTCGTTCTAAATGCCTATATGAACAGCGTGAACTGAGGATCTCGAATTGAATGAAAATTTAATTTAACATCTAATACACAACACAAACTAATACAGTAAAGAAATGACATCAAAGAAGTTTAGAAACTGGAGATGAATTTGTGGTTAAACGATCTAGGCTCTCAGTGGTTCATTGCTTAATAAAATACCTTTTTGGGTCCAACAAAATAAATAGTGGATAGAGGACTGCACGGATGGCGTAGTGGTTTAAACGGTCGCCACGCCGCTTCCTACTACGCCGAGTGTTGTGGGTTCAAACCCCACATGGGACGACACTTTGTGTGATCCACGAGTTTGGGTGTTCTTTGTGTCCGTTTCGTGTATGTTTGTAAAGTCCCCCGCGACACAGGATGTACTTATTCCTAATGCGAGAGTTGTCTTTAAAAAAAAGAAAGTAAGAAAATAATTGTATTGTAATGTCTTTATTAATTAAGTGATCTATGGTAGGGAGTAAGGGTAGCCTTTGAATAAAGTATAAAAAGCTTGAAGCAAAACCTGCAACTTAGCAATGTTTACTATATATAAAAAAAAGAAAAAATTAAATTAAGAATTAAAGTAAAGAATAAAAATAAAGAATAAACTAATTTGGTATTTTAAGTTTATTTTCATATATATACTGTAAACTTGAATTTTGTGTCTTTAATCCGGTGCCATCCAGGTCCAAAATTGTTACACCAACATCCACGTTGGGTCAAAATTACCTTAAAGAGCTTATTTTGGAAACTAACTCAATATCTTAATGCATACTACTAAAAACGAAATGTTCGCTTAATGAATACAATATACAGAAAAAACCCATACAGGAAAATTTATAAGGATGAAGTTACATGAACGAAGAAAACTTCCATCTGATATCATTTGCGGGGACGAAAAACGATTAATTTTTTATTGACACCTGATTTTTTATCCAATTCAGCTTATTAAAGCATAAAGATCATTGGTTTTGGAAACACTTATCTATGTCTATTTAAATAAAATGATTAGCTTATCCTCCATAACTCAAGATAAGTTACATTCTTTGTGTAAGAATTAAAGACATATGAACTTTATATTACAATTAGCAGGAATATATTCAGGAGGTGGCAGCCCTAGGCATTGCGGGCCGACCGCACAGCGCTCAGCAAAACGGTTAATTTCTAATTAAATTTGTTAATTATACCCGATAGCAGCGCACTCCGTACAAATTAATATTTGGTTTATATAACTCACTATACCACACTCTCTTCGGACTTTGTACTACAGTAGTACACGCCGATAGCCATTTTAACTTCATCATCAGCCTTTAACAGTCCACTTCTGGACATAAGCATCTCCTTATAAAGGGGATTTTGGCCTACTACACCACGCTGGCCAGACGTATTGGTATAAGGTTTGTGTCAAGTTTGCCTTCTCTCTGCAGTGCTGTTGTTCTGCGTAGTTTTTTAGTACGACACCCACGGGATGAATGGAGGTGGTGACAGGCTGTATTCTTAATCCGTCACCACACGGACTTTTTATAAAGATTTTAACTTAAATAAATATAACATCAAAATAGAGCTACTCTTCTCTTAAATAATTGTTTCTTTTTAAGTAACAGCAGATAAACTGATAGGTCTTTTTTCTATGGTATAATGGTAACCTGATGGTAAGTGAACACCTCCGTCTATGGACCCCTGCCAGTCAAGAGTCACAAGTCTATACAGGGAAATTATTGCTACAAGTAAATCACATTCATTTGATGAAATGATTTGTTTTATTCACATGTGATTGTGATTTCGTCATAGACAAAGATAAATGACATTAAAATCAAGCGAAATTCTTGTTATTTTGTTATCTTCATATTTTTTATATTTAGACCTTTC